ATAGGTGTCACACTAATTCTCATTCACCCAGATTATCACCTGCAGTGTACTGGACTGAAGGGTCGGTTTCTACTTCCTCCTAAACAACAGCAGTGCAGTGACTCTCCGAGGGCCAACCCGGTCAAGGCTCTGTCCCACATCAGGACCACTTCCCTTTCCAGCTCTTAGCCCATTTCCAGAAGCAGTTTCCCGCCTCTGATGCCTCACAAGGTCACCCACCTCTTGGAGCTGGGGGGGCGGGGGCGGACTGGAGCAGAAGGAGGAAGAGGAGGAGACACAGCAGGGCCTGCCCAGCCCTGACCACTATCAAGGACTGGCAGGGAGGCCACTGAGGTGTCCAGCTGTGTGCGCCAGGCCACCACTCTACTAGCGAGGCCCTGCCCCACTCTTAGGAGTCTGAGCAGTGGAGGGGCAGGGATGCAGCCTTCAGTGTGGAGGAACATTCCAGCCGAGGTGCACGGTAGGCTGCAGGAGGCTAAGGGACCAGGAGGGTGCCTCAGCAGCTGAGGTAAGAAGTTATGTTGGAACGGACCAAGACCGTGTGTGGCCATAAATACTGAGGAGGGCAGCAGCAGCAGCCACCACCACTGTCTTTTGCAGGGCTGAGGTGAGGAGAGGCACATCATCAGGAGCCACCTTAGACATGTCTGAGGCATCTATCTGCTAGATACTTAGTGGAGATGCCATGCAGCTCTCCTGAGATGTGGAACTGGCAGTGACACACATGCAAAGCCACAACGACACAGACACAGGATTCTTAGGGAATGAGAGGCCAACAGGTCAGGGAACCAGTGCTCTAGGTGGCAGGTGACCCAAAGCCAGATAAGAAAGGGCTGGAAAAGCTACTACATGAGCCAATGGAGAATAAAACAGAATTGTTGCAGAGGTATGTTGTTCAAGTTGTATGTATTTGTGGCATGTTTGTAATGCTCTCAGGCTCCTAGCTGGTATAAACTAAGTTGGCATTTGTGGTCAGACACAGGAACGCAGCCACAACTTACAAACTTATTTTTGTAAGACACCTGCTATGTGCTGGGCCTTAGTCCCACCACTTCACACTGTTGTTTACCCTCAGCAGCTCTATCATATGCATGTGATTATGCAACACAGCATTTATTGTATGTTGTAAATAGTATGCAAACAAGAAAGTTCAGACTCTGAGAGGTTAATCTACCCAAATCCACACCACTTATGTATTAATCAGAACCAGAACCCAAGCTCTGCTGCCACAACTCCAAAGTCTAAAACTAAGAAGAGAAATCTCCCCTTTCTAACTCAAGTCAGTAGTGGGGTTAGGGTACTTAGTCCCTAGGGAGGGAGTATTGGCGACCAGAGGCAGGGGAGAAGTAATTTTACCTTAATGAGTGGCCGCTGTGACTCCAGAGCACCTGCACCTTGATTCTGTGCTACAGAATGTGTGTAGCAGCTATTGAGTTTTAAATGGTCAGTACTGTTTTATAATTAGTTTCAGCTGTTTTATTGTATTTCTTTTTGTGTCACTGAGGATTGAACCTAGTTCCTTTGCACTGAGCAATATCCCCTGCCCCTCTAATTTTTTGAGACAGGGTCTTGGTCTTAAGTGGCTAACTTGCTCCAGCTGGGCTCAAACTTGCAATTCTCCTGCCTCAGCTTCCCAGAGAACTGAGTTTTACAAGCATGTCCCAACATGCCCTATTTTACTTTTTAAGCCTAGGTTTCATTTCCTAGTCCCTTATAGTCCGATGAGGAAAGGATTGGTCAGCTGCTTCATACGGGTCCCCACTGAAGATGTTAATCCATTCATTTAACTGAACGAATCCTTTCACTTAATTGTGGTTGTCCCAGCCTTGGAAGTACACTATCTCCATTTGTGGTAGGGGTGTGTGAGGAAAGCCATCAAGGGAAATTGAAGTTAATTACATTCTTGGGAAGCCCTGTGGGCTAGTAGAAAGTAGCCTTTGGGATTAGAATAAACCTGAAGTTTCTAAGTATAACGCCCCATGTGTCACTCTGGTGTGCTGTGAATACCCAACTGTCTGTAGGCGTAACTGTGATGCACCTCAGTAAGCTTCGGAATGTTGGAAGGTCACAGTCAACTTGTGTAGGACTGGGGACCAGGCACAAGAAAGCCTGCTTAAACTGCAACCTCCCTTTTTAAGCCTGTTCTCCTCCCTGCTACAGATCTTATATTAGGAAGAAACCGGTTATCTGAAGAGGGAAGGCTGCTTACAGGGCAGCTTTTATGGAAAGTGAAAATATTTGGGGATTATTGACAAGAAAAAGCATGAAAAATGGTGGCTGAACTGTGGTTTGAGGCTTTAAACAAAATAACTTACAGAATGAAAATTCTCAGTATTCTGTAATTTAATTTCAGGATCAGATTTTTTTTTTTTAAGAGCTACAATACAGAAGAATGAACCCTATCCAGGACCCTTTGCTAGGCAGACTCCATTTCCTTAATCAGCACAGCCTCTAGGTGGAGTACACAGGCATGGCGCCTTTTTGAAAGGTTCCTTTGCAGCTTTGAAATAACTCAGCTTAAGAGTATTTCCAAAAGTCCTAACTAAGCGCCAGGTGATAGTGTCCGGGTGTATTCTTGACATCCTTGTGACTGGCCACTCTGAAGGTGTGCAGTTAAAATGGAGCAGTTGGGGCCGGGGATTTAGCTCAGTGGTTTTGCCGCCAGCTGCGCAATCGCAAGGACCCGAGTTCGATCCCCGGTACCAAAAAAAAAAAAAAAAAAAAGGCGCAGTCTGGCCTGCACCAATGGCAGTGTCAGAAGAGCCAATGGAAAGGCTGTGCATCTCCCCGGTCAGAGTCGCCTCCTAAAATGGAGGCGCACTGATAAATACCTGTAGCCTGAAGAGCCTGCAGAGCCTGGTGAGGGCTGGGATGGACTGATGGGTGGTTGCTGCCATCTGCCTACCTGCATACTAGGTGGCAGTGCAGAGGGCGCCGGGTACGGAGCGCCGCTGGTCCTGAACTGCCCTGCCCAGGAGCACTACGGGAGACAAACTATGGTTTCGGGGTAGTAAGAGAAGTGCCTCTTAATTTTATTATCAGTGGCGTATTTGAAAGTACTGTATTTTAATAAATACGCATCTTCCGAATATGCCCACGTACAAATTACACATGGTGCCTGCGCTCTGCACAAGCGTTAGCACACAAGCGCGAGTGTTAACTGCCTAGTCGGAGGTCAGGGAAGTACTAAGCGCAGAGGACTGTTACTTCGCACGCTTGAACAACTTTCAGAAAGTTTATTGTAATGAGCATATGTTGGTTTTATCATTAAAGTCAATATAAAATATTTTAGAGGTGAAAAGCTAATTTTTAAAATGAAAAATGCGTTACCTACCGCGATTACCCTAATACTTTTAAATAAATTTTGTAAAATATATTTGGAGGTTCAAAAATGTTCCCCAGCTTAGCTGAAAATGAACAGGGAGGGAGGTAAACTTTTTCTTTTCAAATTTTGAAAATGAAGCACTGAACTATTTTCACAAGACCCAAGAAACGCGGGGATCGGGGAACGTACTGAGGCAGCCGGAGCTGCTGCGCGGCCCTAGCCCGTCCGGACGCGGAGTCGCTCGCTCTCGCGCGTCTCCAGACCGCGGGCCGGGCCGGGAGCTGCTCAGCAGAGCGCGGTGAGCGCCGGCGCGGGCCGGAGCATCCCGGGCGAGGGCGAGGGCGGAGGCGGAGGCCGGGCCGCGACCCGCACAGAGACGCCCGCCCCGGGCCCCGCCGCCGCCGCCGCCGCCGCCGCCGCAGACAAAGCTGGCAACATGGCTCCCGGCCCCCGCCCCCGCCGCTCACCTTCGCTCAGGTCCTCGATGCACTCGAATGTGATCTCGAACTGGAACGGGTTGTAGAAGGGGGACGGGTTGTCCAGCACCACCACATTGTTCACCTGGACCTTGGCCATGGCGCGGAGGGCAGGGCGGGCCGGGTGCCGCCCGCGGCCCCACGCCGCCGCCTCGCCTCGCCGCGGCCGGAACTTTACCGCCGCGCTGCCGAGCGGGCGCTCCGAGGGCCGTGCAGCCTAGTCCGCCGAGCCCCGGCCCATTCGCCGGGTAACGCTCCGCGCCGCCGCCGCGATTGGCCGCGCGCTCGGACCTCCCCCCCCGGGCCGCGGCGGCTGGCAAGAGGGGCTGCGGGCGGCGCGGCGCGGGCGCTCAGCCTGGGGCTCCACCTGCTGGCGCGGCCCGACACAGCGAGCGCCTCGCCGCCGCCGGCCCCGCCCCCGCCGGGCAGGACACGCCCCCTGGCCGGGCGGGGCCACGGGGGCGGGGCGGGGCTGGCCGGGGCCGCGGTGGGCGGGGCCACCCTGCCCTCGTGCTGCCTGAAGGCGTTTTGGTTTTCTCCGGTGTTGTCCTAACGCGCTTTTTGCTTCAGTGCACCGGTTCTCTGTGTTCCGCTGAATTTAGCAGGTGAGTTTGACTTGTCTACACTCGGTTGGGCTCAGCGGTCCCTGTTCCGGCTGATATTCGGAGCAGAGATAGGGTTGGTTGCGGGGAAATAAACTGCAACCTGTAGACTGATGTGGGCTGGAAAGGAGGAAAGGCGCTGTGGAAACGGAGTTCCTGGCCAGCGGCCGCGTGTAGGTGGACACGCTGAAGGATGGGCGGGGTGAGGCTTCCTCCGCGCGGCTTTCCGGGAGGTCTGGGCTGGTCGTCTGGAGCTGCACCTGGGCTTTCTCCCTCCGGCTCGGAGAGATGGATCAGCTACACCTCAGCCTCCTGCCCCTGGGACGCAGAGGGAGAGCACGGAGGTGGGTGGTGGTGGGGGACACGCAAGCTTAGAGGACAGGGCAGCAGAGGGAGAAGGGAAAGGGGAGGACACTCAGGCGCACCAAGACTGAAAAACCTTTATGACCCGAGCCTCCAGTAAATGAACACGAAGGACGCTGAGCAGCCCTTGCTTGTCCAGGCAGTTCGAGGTTGAGCAGAGGGAAGGGTTGGTTTATGCAGTGGGACAGGGAGAAGTGTTCACCCACTTGTGCGGGAAACTGTTCTGTCACTAAGTCGGGTGGTATAAAGGTTTGTTTTATTGCTTGTTATTCACAAATTATCGTTTTTTCCTTGTGTTGTATATGAAACCGTTGAAAATAAAATTGAGTGAAAATTATACAAGTACATCTGTACTGGATGAGTTTTCTCAAAGTGTATTCCTCAAAACTGAGTAGTCATTCTTCGGGCATTGTTCACACGCAAACAGCTTGCTTTTGATGAAGTGTCTTCATCTGATGGTCTTTTGAAGTCAATGTAGGATGCTAATACTCGGCCTCCTGGCATGTAAGACAGCGAGTTAGAGTGGGGGAGCAAGTAGGCCCCTCCCCCCAGCCTGGTGGTTTGTGTGCACCAGAGTAGCAGAGTCACACTGCGTGCTAGAAGCGGGTGTGTGCTGTTCACTGTCCTCAGTGCCAAGAGGAAGACTTTGCTACTGTAAGACACGCTGCATATTCAAGATAAAGGTAGCCAAACGCCACTCCTATGAGACTGGTGCATGCAGTTGTCTGACTATTGTAGGATCTCTAAAGAGGATTCTGAGTCTCGTTTTATAAAAATGACACGGCTGTTGCAGTGAAGTGCATTTTGCAGTTTGACTGTAGGTGTGTGGAAATGAGATGCGTCTTACTAAATGCATTTTTGGTAGATGTGCTGTGTCAAGGTGACCGCTAGGCTAGCTTATTGTCTTAAATGTTTTTGCTTAATGTGTCATATGCACAGCATGTAAGGGGAAGCAGTCTTCCTGATAATTCACTGGAAGTTGCAGAAATTAGGTCCAGGCCCCTCCTACTGCCTCTTGTCCTAACTGCTTAATTACTGTACACCAAAAATATTAAAGTGTCCAAGCACTTTCTCCAGTGATTCACTCGCTGTGGGCAAAACCTTTCAGGAAAGACCAAAACAGGCCCAGATTATGTCCTGTCCTATTTCTAAATTAGCTGGTATTCGTTAGGGGAAGAACAATCAGGAAAGCCTCTCTGTGACATCAGAGTCAGTCTGTGGGACCTGTTGCTGAACAACTTTTTTGGTGACTCCCAGACTGCAAAGCACATTGTAACAGACGGATCAGGACCAGTGTTTTCAGTTAGCAAGCACCCAGGGTGCCCACCTGAGGCTTGGAGGGTCCTGTGGAAGGTAATCCCCAAGTCACTTCTCTGTCACTCTCTGGGAGAAGGGTGACTAGAGATTGGCTTTTAAGATGAGCTAAGCCTCATAGGTACTAAGGCAGAAATGAGGAACGTGCTTCGCCATTGTCACAGGCTAAACTCGGCTCCCTTACGTGTGTGTTCCAAAGTACTAACACCTGCGCCCAGAACGTGGCTGGACCGAGAGGGCCTCTGAAGAGGGAGGAGGCTGGAGGAGGCTGCCAGGTACCCTCACCCAGCCTGCCTGGCAGACACAGAGAAGCACCAGGGCCACATGTGCAGAAGGGTGCAGCCAGGGCGGCAGAAGAGGTCAGCCAGGCCTGCCAGCCTTGATCCCAGCCTTCTCGCCTGCCTCTCAGCTGTTGGGAAATGAGTTATGTTTCGTAAGCCGCCCAGTCTGTTATCTTGTTAATGGCGGGCAGTGCTAACAAACTATGAGACTGCCCACTCCAGATCAAGTTTTTAGGGATCTAAGTGAGTTTAATCTTAGTGTTGATCAGTTACTGAGCACTTTCTGAGGTGTGAAATGTCATGGTCCTCCAGCCATGCTGTTCCAGAAGAGGAAAAGTGACCCTCAATGAGCATTCAGCTTGAGTTTTGGAGACGAGATGTATCTTGTGTCCATGGACCCCAACCGCATAGAGGTTGTCCAAGAATCAGATGTAAGGTTGAGTCGAGTCATGCACAAAGCAAGATAAAAGTAAAAGTATAGTAGAATAAGACCAAATTAAAACGTGCTGCATGAAGATACATCAGAAGTAAGAATTAAATGCACCTGAGTCCTTGCCTGCTGCCAACATCATCGTAGGAGTGGAAGTACTAATCCTAGATTTCCACGTGGAGTAACTGCATTACCACAGTGTCTTCAAAGGCTCGGCCGTGTCATTGTCCCTGACTTTGGAGAATATTCTGTGGTAAAGCTTGTGTTCTGTTGTATTTTGCGGTGCTGGGGACTCAGCACAGGGCCGTGTGCAGCCTGGGCCAGAGCTGCAGCACTGAGCCTGTGCTGCACCCCACCCTGCCCCTGCCGGGCTGTGGCTTTTCTAGAACCAAGATTCCTTTGTACTCTCTACATAGCAACAGAATGTCAGAATGTAATGATGGCTCCAAACTGTTAGTAAAAAGTAGAGATTCTGGAGTTTACAGATATTTCTAAGTAGAATAAATTCTGCAGTTTTAAATAATTCATAATAGACAAGAGCATCTGCTATGTGAAGTTTTTGCACTGGGCCCTGTGAAAGGTTCAAAGATAAAAACTTGCACTGACCTGTCGTCTAGTAGGAGAGGCATTTTATAGGAGCACCAAAGTGTGACAGGAAGCGGAGAGTGAGGTGTAGCTCTAACCTGCCACGCACTTACCACGGCAAAGGCAAAGCTGTTCTCATTTCTGCAGAGCCCGTAAATCGCCCGCTTTTTAAGCCTGCGGCGTGCGGGCACGGTAGGAGGGAGGGCGGACATTGTTGCCCCACGGCGGGTGAGGAGGGGCTCGGCCTCAGCCTCCAGCTGGGCGGAGCAGCCCTGCTCTGGTGCTTCACCTTCCTCACCACTCAGGACAGGTCGGCTGCGGCCTCAGCCAAGAGAACACGTGGGTCCGATTTCCGGGAAGAACTCCTGCTGGCGCCCACTGGAGTGCTGCCTGCGCTGTGAGCTCGCCCGCCCTGCGAGATTGGCGGGCCCAGGTGCCTCAGGGAGAGGAAGACCCCGCCCAGGCAGCGCTGGAGCTGTCTCCCGCGCCCCGGCCCGCAGATGTGCAGCTTCCTGCCTCCCCGAGGTGATCCGGAAGTGGGGCGCCACAAGCTCTGCTTGCACCTTCGCTCTTTTCACAGTGTGGTTTTGGTCTCTGACCTCTGACTTTAAGTGGGTCCCTCCCCCGCCCCGTTCTTTCCTCCGCCCCGTTAGTGAAAGTTTCGCCGTGGTCATGGCTACCTACCCCTAGGCGCAACTCTTTCGTGAAGACGTCAGCTATGCTGACCCCTCGTCCACAGTTGGACTGCCCTCAGCCAGGAATCGTATCACTCAGCTTTGTGAAGCACCATGTTTAGTGTTTACAGTTTTTTGGCATTAATACCATTTTATTATTTTTGACCCCAAAATATGAATGGAAGTGTCGAATAATTATTTTGTTTTCTCATGTCTAATTTTTCATCATGTCTTCTTGGTCCCCTTTTAAATCAAGTCCTTCTAAACTCTTGAGCTCAGTCTCCCTTGTGGTCTATCTTCCTTCATGTTTTATAGTTCACCCTTTTCTCTAGCCCTTTGCCTCTCCCATTCATCAGAGGTTCTCTTCTTCTGGTCCTGGGAGGCAGTACTGATAGCAGCCAGAGGATGCAGATCTGTAAACCTCTAACCTCGACCTCCACTTGTACAGAGGCAATGCTGAGCACTGCAGCCTCCTCTGGGTGGTTACTATAGAAACCAGTGACAGTCCAGGAAGCCCTGCTTGGCAGAGCTGGCCAGGTAGGCTTTGTGAGATTGAGAATGTCAAAACCGAGGAAGGCTAGCAAGGGAATAAGCTTCGCAAGGGCACTAGTGTGGAAGGAGTTGGTGGAGGTTTGGTGGAATCCGTGCCTGCTGGGACTTGGGGTCCAGCGTGCTCTCCAAGAACCCTCTGGTGATTTCATAGTAATGTTTTTTTAAGTAACAGCTTTATTGACATAAAATCCACACGGCATATGATTCGCTCAGTTAAGATGCCTGAGACAATAGCTTTTAGGACGTTCACAGAGTTGTTCCTAAGTTATTCACCTATCAGCAGTTAATTGTGGAATATTTTCATCATGGCAAGAAGATGCTTTGTAGTCTTTGGCCATCACTCTGGGCTCCCTCCCTCTCAGGGTGGGTAACCCTGACTCCCTGTGCACGGATCCGTCTACTCCGGTGTTTCATAGGAATGGAGGCATACGGTATATGGTCTTCTGTTCAGTCTCCTTTAAGTGTAACGTGCTTGATGCTTGTGCTGTAACAGTTATTCATTCCTGTTTATTACCTGCTAATAGTCCATTACGTGGATATGCCCTCTTTGTAAAACCCACGATCACTTCATGGACATTTGGATTGCTCCACTTTTGGCCATATGAACAGAGCTGTGAACATTTGTGTACAGGTTTTTGCACGTGACACACATTTTCATTTCTTTGGGTTTACTCATAGGAATAGGTCATTTATGCTAACTCCTTCTGAGGAGCTACCAGATTTTCCTGAAGGGGCACAGCATTGCGTTCCCAGCAGCAGTCCGAGCAGCTCGGTTTCTCAGGCCTTCTTGGGTGGCCGTGCTGGCTGTTGGTGTTTTGATTTGTGCTGCCTCTTGGCTAATGATCTTGAGCATCTTTCCTTGGCTTATTGGCCATATGTGTCTCCTGAGAATGGTCTGGTGAGAGTTTTCCCCCAGTTTTTAATTGGGTCATGTGAATTGTGTTTTTTATATATTCTCAGTACAAATCTCTCGCCAAATACATGACTTGAAATAGTTTTCTCTCTTTCTGTGGGCTGCTTTATAATTTTCTTGGAGGTATCCTTTATAGCACAAAAACTTTTAATTTTGATGAAGCCTTTTTATCTTTTGTGTGTGCGTATGTGTTTGATTTCATGTCTCAAAAAATAAAGTGAAGATTTCTTCCTGTGTTGTCATCTGTCCGTGTATTTTCTTTTAAGAATTTTGTACTTCTAGCACCTTGTGGTTAGCTCTTTGATCCACTTTGAATTAATTTTTGTGTGTAGTGAAAGTAAGGAGTCGAGATTCATAATTTTTCATCTGAATGTCCAGTTTCTCAGCAGCATCTGTTAAAAAGCATATTCTTGTCCAGCATGGTGGTGCCCACATATAATCCCTGCACTTGGGAGGCTGAGTCCAGAAAATCACGAATTCAGGCCCAGCCTGGGCTACACAGGAAGTTCAAAACACCTCATAAAAACGAGCTGACCCTAAATGTGTGCATTTATTTGTAGACAGTTCTGTTTTGTTGGTCGTATGCTTACAGTTAGCACATTGTCTCTGTTACATAGCTTTGTAGTAATTGTTGCAGTCAGGAATACGAGTGTTCACATTTATTCTCCTTTTTCTAGGGTAGTCTGTTTGGGATCGCTCAGTTTCCATGTGAAGTTTAGGACCCTTGTCAGTTCTCAGCAGAAGCCCCCGAGGTTTTGATAGTGACTGCATTGCGTCTGCAGATCCCTTTCAGGACTCTTGCCATCTTGCAGTGTTGCCTCCGCAGCAGCGAGCCCAGATGTTTTCATTCACCTACCTAGTCACCTGTAACCTTTTTCAAAAGCAGTACTGTCCAGTTTTCAGAGTAAAGTTCTGTACTTTTTAAATGAAATTTATTCCTAAACATTTTATTCTTTTGCATGATATTGTAAATGAAAACATTTTCTTAATCATATTTTTAGAATTTTATTTGCAGATATACAGGCATGCTTTTATTTCATTTTTTAGTTTTGCTGAACTCATTTATTAGTTCTTACAAATTTTTAGTGGATTCTTTAGAATTTTCTCTATGCAAGACCATGTCATCTGATCAAAAACAAAACCCTCTAAGATAGTTTTTCTTCTCCTTTTCCCTTTTGAATGCCTGTTACATCCTTTTTCCTTGGTTGCTCTTGCCTAGAACCCCTGTACAGTGTCCAGTGGACACAGTGAGAGCAGACCCTGACCTTAGTAGAGGACAAGCTTTCACTGTTAAGAACGGTGTTCACAAATTGAGGCAGGGGAGACTTTGAGGAACCAGGAGCAACAGCAATTCAAGCATGGATCCAAGTAGCGAAGAATGTACAAAAAAGATTAGCAGTGTGAATATTGACAAACTTATAAAGGATTTTTCACAGATAGGAAAAATGACAGAAACCAGAGGAAAGAATAACATGCTGGAAATTCGGTTGGAAAAGAGTACCTGTTTGTTAAAAGTAATGCAAACAAAAGAAGCCTCAATTAAAAAAGAATGTGCTGCTCTTCATGATATGATAAAGGGGCTACAACAGACCATTGAATATCAACACAATTTGAGAGGTGAAAATGAACAACTAAAAAGAAATGCTGATATGACAAGGAAAAAGCTGAAATCTCACAAACAGGACTATAAGAATAATATTGCCAAACTTGTACATGAAATGAAAATCAAAGAGGAAGAACATAAGATAGAAATAAGCAAACCTTATCAAGATATGGAGAAAAAAGTTGAAGAAAAGCACAAAGATGTAATAAAAAGGAGAGGGAAATCTCAGAGTTAAAAACAAAGTTAATAACTCAAGAAAAAGAAAAGCAAAATGAAATAATCAAACTACAGCTGGAGAAGCTTCAAGAAGAAAAAACCAGATTGCAGTTCTTCGTAATACCATTCATAATTTGGAGCAGCGCCTTTCTATTGGCAAAGATTCTCACCTTAAACATAGATGATTTTTGAGTATAACATTAAATTCATTAATTACTATTTACTTTTTTTTAAAAGGAATTGAAAAATTCGCTTCCTTTTTCAACGTAAGTGTACTGCCTAAATAGCCTAAATAATAAATGAGACAGTTTAAAAAAAAAAAACAGTGTTCACTTTTTATCAGGACGAGGAAGTTCCCATTTGCTCCTAGTTCGTTGAGTGGAATTTTTGTTGTTCCATTTGTTTGTTTGTCTGTTGTGCTAGGAATCAAACCAGTGCCTCACACTTGCTAAACAACCATTGAACTGCATCTCCAGCCCAGGCATTGTGTTTCTTTCTTAATCTTCTCCCTACCTGGGTCTTACCGATGGATTATGCTTTCTATCTTTATAAAATGTCAGTCCTTATTTATCGTACCCAAGAGTTAAAAGAGGAAAGGTTTATTTGGCTCACAGTTTGTAGAGTTTCAGTTCTTAATTGGCTGGCTCCAAGGCAGAGGGGCATCGCAGAGGAGAAACAGTTCATCCTGGGCAGAAGGCAGAAGGCAGCAAAGCAGCAGAGTAGTGAAGAAGCAGCATCAGCAAGCGATAAGCAGCAGCCCTCTTTCTGTGCTTCATGTTCTGTCCAGGCTACCTGCCCTTAGGGTGGGGTAGCCTTAACCCTAATATCACGCCTTTAATCCCAGCATCACACACGTAATCCCAGGATCACATTGTAGACCCAGCCCCCTCTGAAAAGCTCCACCTATAACCTCATGAGGCTTTGAGGAACATCTAGATATAAGCTGTAACATGAGGCTTACCACTTATTTTTTTTTTTTTTGAGCTTTTAATTTTCATGATTTCTGTTTGGTTGTTTTTTCAAAATCTCTGTATGTTTTTGAATTTTCTATTTGTATTCTGTCTTCTTTGATTCATTCAGTTGTTATGCTGTATTCTTTTTTTGGTACCAGGAGTTGAACTCGGGACCTTGCACTTGCGAGGCAGGCGGTGGAACTACTGAGCTAAATCCCCGGCCCTGTTATGTTTATTCTTTTGAAATTCATTTTTAAAAATCATTCTTTTGAATTCTTTATCTGACATTTTATCTACTCAGTATCATTTGAGTCACTTGCTAGAGAATTGCATGCCATGTTGGAGGTGTTCTGTTGCCTTGGTTGTTTTCCTGTTTCTGTGTTGAGATTTACTTACCTTGTTGGATATCTCTTCTGCTTCATGTAAAGGCCTCTTTAGGGATCAGCCTTCTCTTGACGGTGTGTCCTGGGACACTGGATATTTGTGAAGTGTTGAATATATTTCCAAATGAGCTTCCTAATATATATCCCTCGATGCTTCCTTAGTGGTGGTCAGTGTATTTTCACTATATTGGAGCCCGACATTGTAAGGTAGCCTGGACTGGAAAGTTTACTTGGCTGGAGTTTACAGACAGATGAGCTGGATGATCTTCCAGGGCCAGGCTGTTGCTGAGCCTTGTTAGTGTGTTTAGGTCTGTGGCACCCTTTGAGAAGCCCACTTAGAGGATTGGGCAGCAAAC